TAGGGGTATTTTCAGGGCAACACATATTGTTTTTATGTTAATATCAAAATCTGGTATATAACAGGGGACAGGTTTATTGAAGGTCTCACTTATATATCATATTAAGTGCATTTTTTAAATAGATGAATCATTCTATGATGTCATAAGTATCCTCATTTACTGAATTCCATTTATTCATTTTTTTCCTCTATATAACACATCGTTTATTTGTCGTTTTAATCCTTTTTGAAAAACAGGAAAAAAATGACAAATGTTTAGATCTCTATGAGATTTTGTTCATAACAGCAGCCTCTTTTAATCGTTATAATTCCAATCTTAACCTATTTATATATGTTTATTTGATATTTTCCGTTAATGGGAAGGCAAGTTACTTCGTACTTTGGAGAACAAGAACATAATTTCAGCAGAGTCTGGTACATAAGTGTTAAAAGCATGACCATGCAAATTGAAGTACTTATTTGAAAAATTGTTTGTGAGTCCAATAAAACTTTTTTACATATACTTGATCATCCACACAGTGTTGAAAGATAAACACAAGTGTCTAAGCATCACTTAGATATGTATCCCATGTGTTGTTATTGAAATTTACTAGTTGTTTAACAGTTTTCTTTACACATTACATGTTTTGGAAATAAAATTATCTGAATACCCCATACCTTCTCCTTCACCGAGCAAATCATGATAAATCGCTTGTCCTTCAAGTCCCCTTATCATTATGTACTTATGGAAACAAATATATCGGTTCGTAATAAATTGTTGCAAGAGCTTTATGCTTCATACAGAAAAAAGAAAATTAATGTACTGACAACTGCTTAAGCCTCTGTAAACGTCAGATATTTCCCTGCATTATAAATAAAAATAAAAATAATCATGTTCATTTCAAACACAAAGGCCCTATGTCATCCTGGCTCATACCTTTAGAGCCATTTACTATATAACATAGTCACTTCCTAAATAATGTGTGATACAGTCATGTTGTAATTTGCGTATATAAACAATACAAAAGTATAATCAGCTGAAACTACATGAATGATTAAAACATCTGTTCGGATATTATTTTGAAGTTTCTTAACTGTTTATCATGAAATGCGTTATAAACAAGACAGATAAAAACAAATTACAAGTATAGTTTAACCGTTACTATATATACTTCCCTACGTATATGTCACTAATCACACGAAATTTTTCCTACATTTTCGTGTTTTTTTTACAAAAAAAAATTGAACAAATGATTTTGTCAATCAGGTCTGTTTCTTTATCTTGAAGTTAATCATATATTTTGTTTCTATGATCTTTAAATCACGTATTCAGTTCTAAACTAGAATTTGAGTAATGATTAAGCTCCTATTCAGATCAGGAGTCGATGTACTTGTTTCATCTGACGTTTAACTGGATAAAAGGCTATGCAGCCAAATTTTTCGAATTTAAATCAAAACTCTATTGTATTGCATAGATATATAAGTAGTTATTCTATATTTCAGTTCCTCCTGAAATAGACAGTCTTGCTTACAACCAAGGAGACGTTGATGTGACGGAACACGGATCCAAGACTCTCATTTGTAAGGTGGAGAGTGTCCCATCGTCTACAATAACATGGTACTACAAAAACAATGACACAAAACTGTTTACCGCCACAGATGTACTGGAGCGTAGCTACACCCTGACTACTGCTGGCTGTCTGGACACAGGACTGTACACCTGTTCTGCCAAGAACAATGTATCTAACACAGCAGTGACCAAGGACATAATGATCAACGTTTTGTGTATGTTGTATTTTCCTTATTGATTCGAAAACCACGAAATGTATATCTGACCGAATTGTTGACGCTAAAAATGATGATTATTCTTTAGTCATTACTAATATATATATATTTGTACCGAAAATACCCCATGTCGACATCATGCTTGAAAAAATAAATGCAGTGCTTCACTTGAGCAAAAGCGATGGCCGCCAATCTTAAGCTAGAACCACTAGAATGATCGAGACAATAAGCAACCGAAACATGCACATAATACAAACGGCGATTTGTATATCATTTTCCATCGAAATATAGCGGCACATCTATGTTAGTTGATTCAATCACAGATAGTATTGTTTCTCCGTTTGTCAAATATGTTTAAAATAACGTAGGCAAGTTTTTTGTAAAAATGAATAGTATTTTTTGAAGAAAAAAAAATGCTTATCTTTCCGTCGCCTGCTGCGTCTCGTCTCCAGATTGAGTGGCATAAGACGACCTAAGCTCTAAGTCATGACCATATATCCTGTTCGCGAACAAAGAAACTAAAGTCAGTACAATAGTCAAAGGTTGATAAAGTCGTTGAAACCACGTCGTCAGGTTAATATTGTACTCTAAAGTTAGTTGGAAACTCAATGAACTCAATGAACTTCTTTTAACCATTCAAAACCGTATCTCTCGACAAGGTGTCAATGCTCACCAGTGCTCCTTTAAAAGGAAACCGGACAAAGACATAATTGAAATTGTTTTCCCGACGGAAGATATTACAACAGTGCTTATTTCGAGGAGTGTTTTCCGTTTTATGGCAACAGTATTGCAAATTTCGGTGAATTGACTCAAAATGATTATATCATTTTTATCCATATGAACACATGAGAGGTGTTTTAAATCAAGTGCCAAACTTTTCGTTTGGAAGCGTTGTTTTGCCTACGTTTTTATTGTCTTTCCTTTAGGTTTTGTTTGCATGTTTTAAGAAAATTTCGGTGAACATTGAGATATTGAAAACAAAACAACAATATGAAAGCTTTCAATTGTTCATGAACAAGCACTCTAAACAGATTGCAAAAACGTCACTATTTGCATTATCCATACCAATAACAATAGATACAACATTCTATATACATTTGATAGCAAAAGGCGATATCAGCGGTTTTTATGAGATTCAACTATAGAGAGAGTATTTAAAAAAAAATAAAAAAAATTGCGTGACTTTAAGGCCGATGATACGCATTTTACAGATTACAAACAGAATTGACAGAGATCATGATGTAGAAAAAAGTTGATTATCGAAAGCATGGATATATATTGATTACTTAGGGGTTCACACGAAATGACCAGGGCGATCGTTAATAGCATTCTTGCTTTAATAAACATGGCACCTATGCAAATGTATGTATTCAATCCACCTTTAAAACATTCTTACGCTTAAACTTTCGCCAAAGTTAATTTTCTTGTGCCAAATTTCACATTTATGAGCCAAATATTTTAACCCTATCACCACTGTAGGCCATAATGGACTTATCCAGATCAATGCACGGAAGAGTTTACTAAAGTTACATAGGGGTGAAGGGGTTAAAGACATAAACAAGGCGCCGCGGTAAAGAAAATAAGTTCAATACTTCCCTTTTGCTTAGACATTTCTTTACTATAGCATCACTGTTACTCTTTAATCTGTTTGTTACAAAGAGCTCACACAAAGGTAAAACGTCTGTGTCTCGATTACCTTATGATCCCCTACTATATTTAGATTAAAATTTGTGTGTCCCTAAAATTTCCATGTATTAGATTACATCTTTCTGTGTCTTTTTCCTTGATTTCAGTTTTTTCTTGAAAAAGATTCCAACTCACCCCCAGAAATAGAGAATAAAATGAATTCCTTTAAATTCAAAAATATTGATAAAATGTTTTCAATTCAGAATAAATCTAATCATTAAACAAATATTATTTTTTGCTTTCATATGTTAGGTAATATGGTTGGATGTATTAGATAACGATTCATTAGACCTCTCAATTATATCCCCATTGCCCTTGGTTAGTAGTAAGGACTCTTGACCACTGATGATCACGTATTGTTTGCTACGTGCCCATAGGCGTACCATTCAGATGGGATTAGTGATTGTATCAATAGCGTAACGCTACGTAGTAAATTGGGCAGTGAATTCACCATGATAAGGCAGCTAGATTGTCACTGTTTACCTTTGTTACAGCTATAAACTGACACAGGGCACATTTTTGTAAGATATTGACAGAACAACTAGCATTATTATGCGCCAAAAAGTCGCCAGAACTATTTTCATCGGCAAAATATTATTATTTTTTTCATGTGGCGCTATAGGCGACCGCTGGCGTGAACCCTGCACTATTTCGTTTCGCTTTGTAACTAATCACGTAAGTAAAAAGAACGTAATCACGGTTTGTGCAGAAGGAAAACAACTCAAACTTTACTTAAATGTCTTGGTGTAAAATATATGTTAATATGCTAATTGTGAATTCACTTGAATGATGATAACGTCGATACAACACATTGTCATGTAAATGGCGTACTCTTAGGTAAGCTGTAATATTAACAATGTCGTTAAAGAAAACGCCGTTAGTTTGACAGCGTAATGAAAAGAGGCCCGTGAAATTAAGAACGTAAAGAACACGCCCCCAGCTGATTACATACCCAAATACCTTGTTAGCCTGATAACTCACTCTGTTGTAAGCCGTACGCTCAATTACGTCGATTGAACCCGACCGCCAGCTAGAAAACATAATTAAATGTGGCTAACACAGTTCGTTTCGTCAATAAAAACACAGCTTTAGGTTCATAACGTTACTTACGGTAAAGAAAACAGTGAATACAAGGAAGCCTGGATTGATCTTGTTGTCCACACTTTTTAAAAACAAAAAATGACAAAATACAATATATTTGATAAATATATATGGACAGGAAATTGAAAGTCCTGAAATAGAATAAATAACAATTAAATCAGCCATGACAAGTTTAGGAGGGGGTAGCTTTACGGAATTGTTTGACGTCCAGATTTTCGCAAAAATTAAAAATAAATGTTTGCCTATAGCAACTTATATCCACATTCATCATAAATCATCATACTATCATAATGATAATGAGTTTTCAGCATATTTGTGTGTACGTGAGTGGGTACGCGGTAGTATGCGTGCATGTAAATATAGGTGTGTGTGTCTGCATGTTTGTGATACTAAATCGTAGAGTAATAAGTTGTCTTATTTTTGTTTTAATTCCATCCAAATCAGGTTCGCCGCGCCTTGATCCAAGAGTGTTCACAGTCCGGAACATGGGGTTGGCCACTCATGATAATCTAACTATGAATGCCATGTTTCTGTCAAACCCAGAACCGTCATCGTTCACATGGACTTTCCAGAACTCTTCACATAATTCTTTTACTGAGCTAATCGACGGGACAGACAACTTTGTTATACATAATGCACCTTTTACATCGAACCTGTCAGCTTTGTCAATGGGGACACGTACGAACATAAAAGAGGCCTGGTTTGGATTATATAAGGTTACAGCAATAAACAGTGAAGGCAACGGGACAGTCACTTTCATAGTTGCAGCTACAGGTAAATCAATCATTTAGCACAAAACCGGCTTTTTGAGTATGTTCCAGTCTCTTTGTCTTGTTTTTCTCTTGGCGATTTCGTTGTGTGTTTATAGTGTATATTAGATACATTAATGTGAGTTGAGAGCTTTTACAAACTTAACTAATGGTTCATATCTTGTGCAGGAGTAGTTTGTGATAATAAAGATCACTCTTATACTTTATTTTAAAACATTACTTTTGAAATATACTTTTAAAAATATTACTTTTGAGATATACTTTTAAAAATATTACTTTTGAAATATGCTTTTTAACATGCGGTATCAATTGAATCAACACATGCAAACTGACATTGTGAAAGCAGTCCTGACGGCTAGACGTTTTGTCTTTTGAGAAAATATGCATTTACATAAACCAACCCTCATTTTGATCTATTGGTTGGGTTATGTTGTTTTCACGTTGTTCAAAGCTTAATTCTTCCCTCTGGAAATTGATTTTATTATTTGCATGTATTGTCATGTATGTTGCGCAAATTGTAATTAAGCCATGGAGAGATATACGTACTATACATGATTCTAAATAAAATAATCTGCAATATGTTTGTATATTTCACATTTCCATGTAAAATGGTTACTCCAAAATAATTGTCTTATTATCACGTGTAAATATATAAAGTTTGTGATGTTTTGTATATTACTTGGTTTATATTTAAATGCCGAATAAGATAATCGTTGCTAATTCTTCCTCTGTTTGCTGATCATAGTAATCCTTAATAGAAGTTTAATCCAAAATATGAAAAGAAAAAAATCTTCCATCTTAATGTTTCCTATAAGCACCTCCGATTGGGTAATTTTTCACCCCCAGGAAAACCAAACCCCCCGTATGAAGGTACAGCTGTGTGTCAAAATACAGATCGTGCAATCTTAAGCTGGAGATCGGCATTCAACGGGGGAGCTGACCAGACATTTGCTGTTGGAAGAAGGCAAAATGAAAAGGACAACTTTGTTATTGATCAAGCCCTCGACCGAGTCCAGGACCCGGGGCAGGACCGAATCATCAATATAACGGTATTTGGCCTGTCGCCTGGTACACAGCATCTATTCACAGTATATGCTGTGAATACTTTTGGGAACTCGACATTTATAAAGGACGTAAACTGCACTACAAAAGGTGATTACGAACATTTTCGCTTCAATATATAAATAAAAATCAGCCTTAAAAAGAACATTATGTTCTTTTTCTCTAAGTCACATTTCCGTCCTATTAATTCATTTGCTATATATTATGAAACAAACTTGATATTCAATTTTTGACCTGCATTTGTTTCACTTATTTAACGTAAATTTTGTCTATATTTTGAATCAATTACAGAATCCTCCCCTGAGAACTCTCCTTTAGGAGCGATACTTGGCGGAGTGGGTGGATTTGTGGTTGCTATCATTGTTATAGTTGTTATAGTTGTCATCGTTATAACGAAGAGAAGGACATCTGGAAAAAACACAAGAGGTAAAGTCAAGTTGATGATATCTTTTCATGTGTCAACGATCTGAACCTTTCTTTGTCATTTACTTTCTGTGGACAAGTACATTTCTACACTCACAACTTTAGGCCTGCAACTTGCTGATAGTAAGGGCTATCGTGTTTGTTTGAAATACTTTTAATCATTCGATATAAGAGGGATTTATTAAACACTTCCAGTAAAACAAAGCATGGAATGGTGACACAGGTAAAGATGTAAGAAAAAACACCTGCATGATAATTAGTTGCGTGATAAAGAAGTTATGGTGGATATTGTTACGATGATTCGACCTTTTTTTCACCTGCCTGAAAAAAATGGTAAATAGAGAGTCATGTGAAACTGATATTGTGACATCACAGTCATCACAAGTGGGACCCGTCCAAGAACGGTAACATAACTGACACTGGATTCGCAGATATGAACACGAAAAACATTGCATGTTTAATTTCCAAAAGGTGATGACACGCCAGAAACAAATGACCACGTATAACTTTAGCTTTTCAATGTACAGAAACAATACATATAGATACTTTGATTTCAATTTTTCTCTTTTTACAATAAAGCCATCATTTTTGTTTAGATTTTTCCATTATATTTTCATATCATTGTTACTCTATTAACTTAGTTACAGTATATCATCACAATTATACTATAACAGAACAGTTACGCTTAATTACCAAAGGTACCCTGAATCACCATAGTTACACCGTACTACCATAGTTACACTATTTGCCAATATTTACACTATCTCAGCACAGTAAAAAAAAATCACAAAATCACCATAGTTACAATATATCACCATGGTTGCACGTTATAGGTATGGTTACACTTACCACTACAGTTATAATGTATCATCATGGTGACACGAGTTCACCATATTAACACTATATCACCGCAATTAGGCAAATTAACAGTATATTAGTACAATAACACGCTATCACCATAGTTATATTATATCATACCAAAGTTACACGATATTTAATTGCAATAGTTACTATATATCACCACAGTTATGTCACTATGGTTACACTATTTGATAATAGTTACATTGTATTACTTCAGTTGCACTTTATCACCATAGTTATATGTAATCCACACAGTTGTATTTATACTCACAGTTTTTGCTAAATTCATCAGAGTTACATGTTAGCATCATAGTTACACTATATTAACATACATGTACACATAATACTAGCTTATATTAGCGATTATTTGATGGCATAAACATATTCTTCATTTACTGGTTCTATAGTTCTAAGATAAGTTAATATATTATGTAATAACATTTCTTTTAGATATTGCAAAGGCAGAGGTGACCGTAATGTTCTTGATTTGATATTTCACTTCACTACAAACATTCCAAATTGTGTATTTTATAGTTATTGTTAAGGAGTAAAAGGAATTGTTTTGGACATCTCCATAATCCGCAAGTACATTTTTCTCTTCATTTCTAATGATGTCAAATAATTAACATTTCCACAGAACATCATCAGATATAGGAAGTTCTACATGTGATAGAAACATAATTGCAATTGTAATAGAGATGACATAGTGAATCTGTATTTGCACAAAAATGACATTTTCCATCAGATCGATAAATGAATTACAATTTTGCAACTCCACTTAAAATGCTTCATTTTTTGTACTAACTGCAGCGTGCCTAGATTTGATCCAAATAGTTCCCCAGTTTCGTATCCTTATTTTTTCTTATAAAATTTAGCTGACCTTATAGCTGACCAGGAATGTTTGATGAAGAAAAATATCAATAACAAAAAATACTTCAATGTTGTTTTAAAAAATTAAGCATTTGTTTTCAGATGATGATACTGAGATGATTCCAAGGGTTGGGAGGTGAGTGTTTGACCTGGTAATTTTGGTGCGCTGGATTTTGTTTTTTTTGTTTTGTTTTGTTCAGTAAACATTCACGCATACATTCTGAAGAGCATACAGGACAGTTAAAGTAAATGAAATGATGAGTGACATTATCAATTATGGTAAAAACTTTTTTTTTAACATCTGTTTTTTTGGTGATACATTCTCTAAGTAAATTATTTGAAATTCGCTTTGAGGTCCAATTCGACCACCATGTCCTTTTGGATTTTTTTTTTTAACTGAAACTCAAATTTTGCTGAACTGATTTTGCACATATTAACAGCTGTGTGTTTGGAATATGCAACAAGTTACTGTGAGCACATTGTCCGCCCATATACGCACATCTGTGCGGTTTAACAATTGATCGCCGTGAACTTTTTTTTTACACGTCAAACCTATGTCATGTCTTCAAATTGGATATATAACGCGAATCCAATACACTTCAAAAGTTTATTGCATGACAAGAACCTAACTGTATGAAACACTTTCGTGAATTATAATAATTATAATTAATAATTTCAAACTGAATTATGTTAACGGTGTTTTTTTTGCTCGGACCTAACAAATAACCCAACGCATTATTTGTGTAATTTAACAATTCTTACAAAACTTCATATTATAAACAAGACATGCTCTATCAATGACACTGGTTATAAAGCTTCTTTTGCGGAAAAATTAAATAATATATTGATGTAATCAAAGCAATTATAACAAGCGACAGAATATGGTGGGGCATAGCCGACATACACATATGGTGGGGCATGGCCGACATACACAGTATGTGCAGCTTGTACATAAGTATTCGCCAAAAAAAAAAGGCAAAACCCTTATCAGTCGTTTCCAGTTTACAAGTTATATAATTATCATACAGTATGAAATAACAGACTATACCCTGAGTCATACATTCTAGCTGCTAGATTAAACAAAACAATATTTTCTAACCCTGAGACTGAACAGGAGTCAAAGTATATAGTTTCCATTGCCTTGCATCGTATCTTTATTGGTAAATATCATGATCGTGAGCCTTATGCTTCTTAAATAGAACTTATTTGGGACTTTTAACATATTGGGCCACACTTACCTGGATGAAGGTAACATCATTTTAAAACAACACAAAAATAATAATTTTGTATATATTATGCACTGGTAACTTTTCAAAGTTGAACATCATCAGCAAAATATAATCAGTGTTTAATTTTAATATGACGGTCATGGTAGCGATCACTCTAAGAAAGGATTTATTTAACCTTAGAGTCTAGCGATGCAGCCGTTTTAGAGGAAGTTGAAATGTTTAAGCCAATCAGGTCCTAGAGCGGCTACAAATCGGACTTGGAGCGGCCATTTTGATTCTCGGATTGTTCTTAAAGAAACATTTGTACAAGTTTGATTTCAATCGGTCTAATTGATCTTTAGGAAATTTACGAAAATGTTCGATTGTTTTCCATCTGAAAAAGACAGAACTGCAAAGTAGAGGTGAAACAAACTTGAAAGGGATAACAAAGCCTTAGTGGATACGCCAACATAACATTTTTGCAAGTTTATCGGAGATTCACAAGACCGGAAATCATATGAGAAGATCGACTTCGTCTCAGGTGGCTTAAAGACACGAAACAAAGTGTCAACAAAATTGTAGTTGCTTCAGAACATTAATATAAGTGGTCCAAAGTTTGTTCTGTTCAAAGAATACCAATTATGTTGATATGAAATTAATGCCAATTTCTTAGGTTATACCAAGAACCATTAAATGATCTTTGAAAGTCGCGAAACATCTAATTTTGTTCTACGAATTCGATTTTAATTGCGTGAATCACAAACGTTCGTATTTAAAAAAGTAGTTGCTGTTATTTATTACAGATCCGCCGAAGATGACAGTTCAGGTAATTCATAATTTTGTTTTATTTTCTGTCTTCTGATTCATTATTACTATCACAAACAATAACAATTTGAAGCTGATTGACTGATGGAATTTAATCGGTGCGATTTCAGGATGTTGGACAGGTTTCACTCCAACACAGGATTAATTTTAAGGTTACAATAGTGCTACTATCTATCGATTGGAAAAAATATAGTTTAAACAACCTGAATTGTTATGACACATTTTCGGTTTTAGGCTCTTGATTCAGATAATAAAAACAACAGGTGAACAAGACAAGCTCTATTGGCTTCTTTATTTTCTATTTTCGAACAGATGGCATGAAACCCAATATTCTGTATGAATCATCGGGTAAGTACATTTGTAATTGAACCATTATGTCTGTCCAAATGATGTTCAGCTTGATAACGGCATAGGGTTAATACAATTAAGTTTGTACATATATATACATTATTTGTACCTTTCAAAGTCTGTTAAGGTAATATGTATGTGAAGAGTAATACTTGTAATCCTTATTAAGTTTAGTTTTTATTTTGCCTTTCGTTGTGTATTTGCTCAATACACGCCTCGCACTAAAGAATCAAAATCATCACGTGTTAATTCATTCAGGTAAATGAAATTTGGATCTCGACACAAACATCAAATATGACGAAGATAATATCACTGTACTACCAATTGCATTTTTTATTAATAAAATCACACATGACGGGTGACATGTTGCCTTACAGACGGACTCAAGAAGAGCATTCTATACGAGTCCGTTGACGCTCAACCAGGAACTTCCTCGGAATACGCTGTTGTTCAGAAACCTTCAAAAGGAAAGACTGGATCTCCAGACGCAGTTTATGCTGTTGTGAACAAACCGAAAACTGAACAACTCGAAAACGTTAACGATGTGTATGCAGAGGTTAAAAAAACAAAAAACAAATTAGGGAAAGGTATACTGTATTTTCTCATGTATTAACTCTAAAAAAGACTTTTAACAAAATCATGTCCATGTTCGTAATTTTTTAAAGAAGAGATAGGATAGCTTTAATCACAAATCTGTTTCCGTGAAAATTTCAAATAACAATATAATATCACGAAAAAGTGAGGTACAATTTTTTCTATGTTGACGTGAATGTAATTAATTTCAGTTTGTATTGTTGTAGGAAAACAAAAAGAAGGGAAAAAGAAACAAACAGGTATGAACTACAAGATATTAGCGAGCAGAACTTGGTTGTTACCTAATTTCCCCGAAGGGAGGGTAAACTGGGGGGTGTGGCTCCCGGGGGATGGGTGGGGGAACACAAAGGCAAGGGCCCATAAGGAAGAACACAGTAAAACATGTTTAAACTCCTTATTCTTATGTATGAATTGAGGTATTCGAACCAAATAAGGTGTAGAGCAATATAAGACATAGGGGCATCCAGTTGGTATAAATGGAGGATGTGGCCCCCATGGGAGGAAGATCCTTCGGCAAGGGAAATTCAGTTTTGAAAAAAAGGAAGGAAAAGCTCCACTGGGGGTAGAGGGTGGAGACCCATAAGAGAGAACAAGGGAAACTGTTTAAAAACCCTTCTCCTTCTGTATGAATGGAGGGATTTGAACCAAATTTGGTATAGAACATCCTTAGACAAAATGGACTCGAATTTTATCAGTGGAAGGGGTTGAGGGTTTGGACCAAAAAGGAGTAATTTGGCAATATTGCTGAAAGTGACTGAAAGTGATGGATGTCAACCATATTTGTTTTGGAGCATTCTTCGATCGTTTAGAAAGCCTCGGGTCTTCAAAATTTGTAAATCCCGAGGTTGAATTTCCCTATCCTACATCCTCAACTATCAGAATAAGCCCAGAAACCATGGAAATGAGGTCGGACTGGCTACCATTTTAAAAATGTCAATTTCCCTTGAGCCTTTTTGACGAAAACAAATCTGTCAGCGTTTTAGCATACCCTATATTTGCAAACAGAGTTTGCTCAGAAAGTTTATCATATCTTTCTAACGTATACGGAAAATATATCGTAATTTTTTTTAAATTCATCTCGTTGTCTTTTACCGCATTGCGGCATCGGGTTTTTCCAATTCGTGACGTCACGTCCTTATTTAACCTTTGTTACGTCATTGGGTATGCGATAGATTTTCTTCCTCCCCTTTCTAACCATGGACAACTCTATCTTACAAACTCGGAAATGAGAGAAAAACAGTAAAATATTTTTTGTTCTTATTGAAATAACATAACAGAGATATATTTCAATAATTGTCAATATGCTGACTGGAATATTGCTATAACAAAAAGCCTGTTCGTGTACCTCTCGTTTACAGTTCGAAGTTGGACATTAATAGATCCTTTCTGTGACATATACAGTGTAAACTCACAAGTCTCAACCAAAATGATCACAACTTTCTTACATGGCTATAATTACTCTAATTATCAACGTTCGATAATGAAAATGGATATTTAATACCATATGGAAATAAACATTATGAGAATGTTCAATTAAATGGTGTTGCATTGACATAGGCAAAGATGACAAGAAGAAAACTAAGGGCGGGAAAGGCAACCACAATGGTGCAGGTAGGTTATTGTGATGACATTATTTTTTTAATATTTTAGAATTGACAATATAAGCAATAGTCAATAGGATCAGACATCAGGCATAGCCTATCTAAGTCCTCCCCTTAAGGTGACAACAGGTGGTAAGAAACACAGACATATATGTATACATTTATATGATGATTGGGAATTAACTCCTTGATGAAAACAGACATGTTCAATATTCTTGAGATATAGTAACCCTTTCACTAGGGATATTTAATTTGAGATATTTACTAGACTATTATCTTCGGTGAATAATATCAAGTATTAGACAATGCGTTACTGGTATTCATATAAGGTCAACTGTGGAGTATAAATATTTGGTGATTTTGGATTTATCCCCCCAACAGATACAGGTCATACAGTCCATATGTATAGCACACTAGCCATACACTGTTGAGGATCAAAAGCCAATTTCAGCAAATAGATATATAATTTGAAAGTAGGGCTACACCAACTCCTGCAAATAATATGATAATTCTTTAATTAAATTGAAAGGAGCTACTTCATATGTTGATGTAAGCTTAAAAGAAAAAAAAACCGAAAAAACATCTAAGCTGCCCAGAGCCAGTTTCATTCAATAGGTATATAACAGGTAAATTAGTATTAATCAAAGGTAGAATAAGGTAGTAGTATCTAATTAATTCCATATCATATTCCATAAGGTATATCTTGTACTGCTAAATCATTGTAGTTCAATGCAATTCATCTGTATGTTAACTCAGTAAACCTGCCGTCTTTTTAACCTGAGTTGGATAAATATGATAACTAATCACCACTTGTTGGAGAACCTTTATATATCAGTACCCTAACAGTTTCTGTATTATTTTGTACAGCTGGAGATGCATACGAACAAGTTGAAGCTGTCGATGGAACAGGAGATAATATCTACGCTAATTGTGATGGTGGTACAGCAGCTGCTGCGGATGCGAATCTTTCACGGAAAAAGGTACATGTTTTACAATTTATATAAAACATTTCATACTATAAAAATGTTCCTCGTATGTTGCCTGTATGTAAACCTTTGATCACTTCTCCACTGAAAGTTAGTTCTGGTAGCGTTTTAGTTTTACTAATAGCGTTTTATAGTTTGTGGGTTGTTTTAACTTGATATAAGAATGGTTCGAAAGGTGCATCGTGAACATTTTGTGATGGCAGCCAATCTGGAAAATATAGCCACCATCCGAAGTGTTGGAAGGTTGGGCCAAATATGGCTATACGGTAGTTCCCCGTTATACCGCTATCTTTTGTCCAGTGCCAATTTTGGCGGTATAACAGGGTGGCGATACAACGGGGTTTCAGTAGGACAGCCAAATGTAGGACACGTGTTCCTACAGTGTACAATCTATTTGTAACAAACACTGCATATACATACACATATATTTGTTTGAAATTAATGCAAACACGTAATATAAATCATTTGCAGCTTTTAAACATTATAAGTTAATAAAAAATAAATACTTTTGTACAATTCACCGACTTGTAACACATTCCGGGATGCAATGTGCGGAAACGTATGGTCGTCACATGTATAAAACATGGGCGTCTCCTACCTGACTGGACTGTTTTGTGGGAACCATTTTATCTCTCAGTGTATTCAAACATCAAGGTCTTTTTTCGTTGTGTCGTGTATGGATACGTCGTCTCTCTTACGCTATAGGTCAGACTTCTAAATAAGGGTGCCATGACCACAAATGGAAAACGTAGTAAAGGCCATATAAAGTAACAGGAATTGAGAAAATATTTCGCGTGATCTGTCATGTCGGTATTAGCTTGATTGCAGTAAGGTTTGTTTTTATTTTAACGATCACGCATTATTTGCTAACATTTTACTCATATTAGGCGTTAGTTATAAGTAATCTTATAGATTGAACACTTCATATTTTGCTGCATACTCCAGTATCGGATCGATTCAAACATCTGACGACGTATAAAATAACCGTCTCCTCGTCAGAAGCTATGCTTTCGCAGCCAATGTGCTTAAAGCAGTAAAATTACGAAAATAAAATATAAAAAGTACAAATAACAACCACAATACGTATAAAACATAACATAAGAGTATTTTTTACTATGTAAACTCGGGGTAATTAACTCTCACGTTTATCTATACATGTGGATTAAACACGCATGACTGAATCATTAATTGACCAAATATCAGACCAAAGCGTAAACGATGGCGATATTGTCGGGGTATGAACAGTTTTGTATTTGAAATAGTTGGCGGATGGCGATATTAACGGGGTTTAAGATAGGGGGGGGGGGATGTTTCTAACAGCATCATTGCGGTATGCGGGGTTGACATATAACTGGGGTCGGTATACAGAGGGACTACTGTCTTGCTTTAAATGCCTTCTTATCTAGAATAAAGACGGATATCAATCATGTTGGTCGGAAACGTTCAATTGAAGGACAGAGCTCCGAGGTTGAGGGTTGGGGCCAAAAAGATTGTTTACCAAGTAGAGATCTCCATCCTATATACAATTGCTGAATATAAAGAGACGGTAACACGTATACTACCAGAATGGCCTCGGAACCTGCCCCATCCTTAGAGACCAAATTCCTGGTAATAACTATTCCAACCCTATATCCATATTCACATGTATTTAGCATAGGTATAGAAATAGAATCACGATTTTTGAATTGAGGCAGGGTCTTGCCACTCCCGTAGATAATTAGTGTTTGGTTCACAAATCGGAAACAGTGCGTTCCAACTAAAAATCAGTCCCGCTTTTAGTCTGCACTGTATGAATCCAGTGATGCCATGAACTCTAATGAGTAATAAAAACTAAGTTTGTTTAAAATACGAACAGTAATGGATTATTTTTGTGAGCTGTCGTGAACGTCTGTCTCCGTTGTCAAGTAAAGACGGCAAATGGCCGGTTCCTCGAAGCTAATCTGCTGAAAACAACTCACTTAGCCACAAAGTGCCGTGTTAGCCATCAAAATAATATCGAGGCAATCTTTTATTTGTTAATTTTTACAAACCGTTGTGTAAAGATGGACATATTTGCTTCCAGGAGAAAACTCGTTCTGTTTTATGAATCAAATATTGAATGATAAATATTTTCATATTAAAAATGCACATTTGAAAATTCATTCTCTGGCGATGTTTTCAACCTTCTTTAAAACAAGCGATTCAATATTCTCCCCTTTTTTCCCCAATATAGAATAAAGATGGCCTCATCTACTTGGACCTCGAATTCAAAGATGACAATCAAAACGGCAGAAACTTCATTATCCATGGTATCGAAAACAAAACTGACTACGTAGATGTCGATTTCACGAAACATGCGGATCCCCTGCCACCAGACAATGAAGAAGACCAGCAACCAGCGGAAACCAAAAACAACTAATATGATCTGCTTTTGTTAAATAACAGCAACATTAAAGGAAACAAAACAACATTTTCGCTTAGATATGAATCCACCTTGAATTTGCCTAATTATACATCTAATCATAACACTATGGTTCACAGGTGTTTTTGTTTGTGACCTCCAAATGCATATTGGCTGTAACAATTTGTTATTCTATTAACTGTGCGATATGTATGAGATTTGGCAGAATTATACATTAAATAGAATAATATGTATCTCTGCAGTAAAGAATATGATTATAATATGTATGTGCCTTAACATATTGGGACAAACATATAACATGTGGAATTTTCCATACGTAAGCTTAATACCTAAAATAAACTGTTGAAAAGTACATTGGCCCTAAAATCCTGCTTAGATAATTATCTCCGATACATATACGTCATTTCAACACGGGAAAACGTGAAAAAAGAGGTCTCAATAATTATCGGTATAGGCTACCAACTTTAATTTCACTACTTCTCCTTTAGATATTGCTGGTCAAGTTGAAAGGTCAAAGTTCGTCTTGGGCATATCTCTCATATTATTCAAACTTGAATATTCATATTTTGTATGGAAGTACATCTTTGGATGGCGAAGTATATGGTCATTGTGACATTAGTTTTGACCTTTGAATAAAAAAAACCAGATATTTCTGATGATAATGGGGTGAAGTTAGGGAAAAAAAGGTCACTGTGATATATGTTTGACCTCTGGTTTATTAACGTTTGTCGAAAGCCTGTCTTATATACTATTTCAACTAGAGTAACCAAATTTGGTATGCAGATATATCCTGAGATGACAGGATTTCTGTACCAAAATTGCTGATTATAGTCAATAAAAAGACCCTATTTTGTATCTGGATACTTTCTTTACAGTAAGCTGATGCTGAGATATGCTCCGTAAATTAATTCGTCTTGTTCTTAATACCCATAATTTGAATAGCATTTTCCAGTGGGAAATATTCAGAACCTATATAAACCAGAATTGCACTCGTAGTGAACTTTACCTTTACATTCATTTCGGTCTCCGCTTTAAATCAATTTGTCATATTACAACAACCGCATATATCTCAGCTCGGTTTAAACTGAAATTACGTGACACATTTTGTTTTTTTAACTTACCTGGTCCGAAGGACCGGCGAGTTTATGCTGTGGCGTAGCGTCCGTCATACATCCGTCCGTCTGTCATCTTTTCCTTTCAAGTTCAATAACCCCCCTTAAAAGTCAGCCAAAATGTCAACGTCTGTATATTTATAAATCGTTGCCCTATAAGGTAAATAAAGGTTCTCTTTCTAAACGGAAGAAGGGATCAACCGAATTTGATAAAGAGTTCTTTTGCCATATGGTATTCAATGTTTTATAAACCAAGGGTGTCCCTACGGGAACGGAGGGGACCAAATAAGGTACGGGTGAGACAAAGTCAATATTTGAATGTATTATATTTGCTGTATGATATTTAATGAACACTTTTTGCCATTAATGCTAAATTTCAAGATGGACGATACAGGCCGTCAATGTCTTTTGTTTAATTGCATGCTCGTTTAGTTTATAGTGTGGCTGTTTTTTAACACCCATATTTAAGGATTGGCCTACATTTTGACGGCGCATACGGTAATATGAACGCAGTTGACAACGAACATATTCCGCTCCATAAAGAGTATGTGTGTTGCAAACTGCGTTCATACTACTGTATGCGCTGTCGAAATGAAGGTCAATCCTCACATTGTCATCGTAAATAATGTTCAAATGCTATACAAAGAAACAGAAATTCGAAGCGGGTTGTTACGATGGTAACTACGGTAGCCGTGGTTTTAGGATAATATAGTGCCAGTGAATCTACATCGATATATGGGTAAATTTAGAAAATATGCAGTGAACAACACTATTTTTCTTCTTTATGGCCGTTTTTTCGGTCGTTATGTATACGCATTGCTACACTGTTATGGTAGTCGAACGTCGCAAAAGAAAGCTGCCTTTGTGTACTTTTCCGTAAAAGAATTTCTAATGTACAGTTTCCCAGCATCCATTTGTTGTATAATCAGACATAATGGATCCCGAATATGTTCCATGTTTCAAGATGATGTAGGAACCAAACAAAGGCTGCCATCAGACAGTTATCTCGCTGATGCTTGAACGGCGCCATATTTGAAATAGGAGTCAATCTGCCGAGCCTTTTTTCATTGCGTATATGCTAATTTATACGCTGTCTGAGTTTTGCTAAGCTGAAAAAGGGAGATATGTAACTATATATAATTACTAGTGTGTTTTAGCTGAATTAAAAATCAATATATTTGTATTATGTTTGAAATTCGGTCCATTTACATATTCTACATGTTTGTACTATTAAGATATGTCATAAAGTCATATATTCATATATTCAACAATTGCCAACTTTCTCCGGTTTACCAAATTGTCAATCATATTTAGTCTTGACAATGATGATGGCCATCACAGACACTTACCAATTTTTATTTTGTCTTATTTTTTTTGTTTTATTAATGTTACTCTATTTCCCGAAATTTATGTTAGTTATGTTAAATATGCCTGCATCATAAATTGCACATATCACCTTAATAATGTTGATTTTAATTTCAACGTTTTTCATAAAATCATTTTTGTTTAAACATGTATGCTGTTCTTGCGTATTATTCTGATAGACTGGTTCTGAGTGTTCACTTTATCCAAGTATTCAAGAAAAAGTGAAAGGGAATATCAAGATCAGCTGTTAACGTGCACCACAACCTTAAAATGACACATGTTGAAGCATTTCAAAAAAAGCGTTAGACAAATTGTTATATCAGTATTGCATGTATTAACACTATAACAGTTAATACTCACCATTAACGAACCCAAACCATAGGACATGAAGTGTAAAATTGAATATGGCGTATAACAGTACTGGTATTCATTTTGTCATTCATACATAATTGTTAAATGAAGTCGGATGCTTATACCAGTGAAGGTCCGGGGAAAGGCCTACTTTATCCCACTACACAATCGGAAGAGGCGACTTATGGGCCCCTCCCCCCCTCCCCCCCTTCTGTGAAGGGGACATTGAGAAAACCAGAGTATATATGTTGTATCCCACTGCACGTGCATCGTAAAAGGCGGCTTATGTGAGCCCCCCTGGAAAATCTAATGTTTTCTAATGTGTCCAACTAAGAAGGTATTGAAGATATCAAATTTGATATTCGGTCCCAATTGTAACACTTTTTCGTTTCCTATCTGTCTTGTCTTATTTCTTTTTCACCTACTTTCTCTTCCCGTTGGTGTCTCCCCAGACACCCGTCCTCATATGACCCTGGTTGTTACGAGAACGTTAAACCCTAGAAAACAAACTTCTTCTTTTTTTATAGTTTTCTTAGTTAAGTCGATGATTCTATTGAGTGTAAATTTCCGAGTTAAAAAGTAGGGATATAAAGATTCGGCAGCACGAGTTATAGGCCGGTGTTGACACCCGGTATATGCTATTTTATTTTGGAAGTGCATTCGCTTGACTCGTCACGTTCTGTGTTTCACGTATTATTAAAATACAGAAAAATATGACATACCTTTCATTTGTGTGGTGGGAACAGTATGTGTCGTTTTTCCAAGCACATTCGTTAAAGTTTGTTTGTTAGTAGTCACGGCTTCGGGCTATGAGAGTGGTAGACCTAGTGTTTACATGACGCGTTCGTTATGTTCGTGGACATTCATGAATATAGGAATGCAAAGTTTGTATTAAACACAAATAGTTACTGAAATCTTATTTTCCGAGCTTTCGCAAACGTCCTTTTCCATTGACAAGCATATAGTCTAAATGACAAGTGTTTCGACTCTAAACCGCTGCAAATGGCACATGAAAACTTTGCCTTAATTAATCATACCAAACTGATCAATTAAGCTTATTCCGAATTATGAACATTTGTGTAATATTTTCTAATGTTAGAAACATTTAGATTAACTCCTAATAGTTTCACTTCTGTGCGCAAGCCCATATTGCATATTGAAATACTTTTAATACAATTTAAGATTTGTCAGGATGATATTGTAAAATGTAAGACGATAGCACGTGTCACTGTTGCGAAAATGTGAGGTTTACTCGTTTACACTTATTTATTTCCAAATATTCTACTAAAAATAAGACAGACAATTATAAAATATATATAAAAAATATCATAAGTAAATAAACAGTAAATGGAAAAGGAAATAAACAGAAGTTAAATTACATGTGTTACTATTCACCAATCACAGAATTTGTAACAAAGAAAAGCATCAATTTCGGAATTATATAAATTTGAAGCACGTACAACTACACATTTCATGTCATTGATTCACCATTCTTACTGTCTACCCCTGAAGCTTATAAGACTATCAATGGATGCTGCATACTAGGTCTTAAGATTTGAACCTGTTTTTACTTTTGACCAATGAGGTCCTACTTGAAGAAATCTGCATTTCAAATCATGTATGTCCATTATGTATGTTAATATTGAATATTTTTGTTGAACATTCAGTTTGCTTTTAGTTTATCATGGATTTGAAATGTATTACGTATTCATTATAAGAGGAAAATGTCATTATAACTATAATAATCCTTACATAATCATTATTCATCATCAGACTATATTGGTGTGATTGCAACCGGTAGAGCAAAATTCTATAATCTCCCTTTATCATTTTAAAAAGGACGATATGAGTGTGTTTTTAACCAATAAATTAATTCAATATAATCCACATATCTTTGCTTTATTTTTAGAGAAAAGACTGATCAGAGAGGTGGAGCTAAAAGTGAAATATAATTTAATGTTTAAAATCTCTTTTCCGTTGGAATAATTGTTACTTTACTTTAGCTCAATTTCGTTTGGAAGATTGTTTCGCAAACGGGAGTCAATGTTGTATGAACGCACAGAGTGTGGTCCCAGGTGGATACAGGGGATGGCATTATTCTGATAAACATGAAACAACATAATATATATTGATGTTTTAGTCTATATCGTTGTTCTAAGGAAAAGAGAAAACCTTTTGAAAATACAAAGCTTTGTCGTTAAGAATTAAATTTTGAAACGGTGTTCAACTCGAGGTATTTCCAAAATCCCTAAAAATCATTGATGAAATATGATATTTTATTAATTTATCAACAAGAAAATCGGATTGAAGACATAATCTGAGTTTGAGCATGATGATGGTTTAATGAATATGGGTCCTGGTATAGATAGTCGTCAGAGTAGATAAATGGCTAGTATAGGCATGTGCAAACATGACACCCAATGTTACACACTACATTTTATCGTAAGAGGCGATAAATGAGTGAACCTCCTGCAGAATTTGGGTATTGCTTTGGTGTTCTCTACTTTGGGACACAAAAGCGAAAACAAAAAATCTGCAACACCAATTGCAATAGTTGGGATATTTATATTTCTCTCTACTTCTAACTACCTTTTATTTCATAGCGCCTTGCTTGGCAATACCTCACTCTTGGTTTTAATTTTAAACGTTCGGCAAGGTCAGGAAGGCCATGGGTTCAGTACCTTGTCCGGGACACACCAAAGTCCTTAAAAATGGTAGTTGGTATTCACTTCTTAACGGTCAGCATTTGAGGCAATACCAACAACTGGTTCACCCGTTGTCAATATAATGCAAACCAGGCGAAATGCTGTGCTGGGTGCCTTCGGCATGGTATTTCAGTGAGATAGCATTATAAAGTCGGCATCAGATCCGCGCTATCACAAAGAGGCAAACACATCAACATATCCTGTCTCTGGCACACATACACGAATCCACTACATACATTGTACATGGAGGCACGTCCTTAAATGACCTTATCTGTAAATGAACCGTTACACAACAA